TTATTTCCTGAAGTAGCGTTTTGTAGTTTTCTTTGTACAGGTCCTTTACTTCCTTAGTTAAGCTGATTCCCAGGTACTTGATTTTCTGGGGCACAATTGTGAATGGGATTGTTTTCTTCATGTCACTTTCTTCTCTTTCACTATTTGTGTATAAGAAAGCCACGGATTTTTGGGTATTGATATTATAGCCTGCCACTTTACTATACAAGTCTATTGTTTCTAGGAGTTTCTTGGTAGAGATTTTAGGGTTCTCTAAGTATAGTATCATATCATCTGCGAATAGTTAGAGCTTGATTTCTTCCTTCCCTACCTGGATGCCCTTAATATCTTTTTCTTGCCTAATTGCTATTGCAAGTACTTCCGGTACTATATTGAACAGTAGTGGAGAGAGTGGGCATCCCAAGGATCAGTCTTCTTAAAAAGTCTCCCCTCTATGATGCGAGAGACAGTACAGTGGTTAGGGTCTTTGTCTTGCACATGGCCAACCATGATTCTATATGGTCCCCTAAGCACTGCCAGGAGTAATTGCTGAGTGCAGAGCCAGGAGTACCCCCTAAGCATCGCCAGGTGTGGCCCAAAAAACAAAAATATATTAAAAATTAAATCCCCCCCATGTGCTTCTGATGTGTACCAAAAGGTAAAGATGACAGCTTTAGGGGCTGAAGCAATAGCACAGCGGGTAAGGCATTTGCCTTGCACGCAGTCGACCCGGGTTCATTTTCCAGCATCCCTTATGGTCCCCTGACCACCACCAGACCATCACCAGGAATAATTCCTGAGTGCAGAGCCAGGAGTAACCCCTGTGCATCTCCAGGTGTGACCCTCCCCATAAAAAGATGACAGCTTTAGGAATAAAGATGGAAAAATTATCAAAACTCTTGGTTCAGAGAGTTATTATCCCCTATCCCAGTCCTGACCCTCACAGACGGTGCTTATTCTTTCCATGTTTTCCCAGTCTGTCTTCCAGAGGAACCAATTTCTTGCCTCTTTGGAAACAGAAATAAGAGAAAGGTCATCTGTTTTCACTTAAACACAAGTGAAAGTTGTCCCTAAATTTTAGAACACGAGTATTCTGCTGCCCCATAGTTCTTGCTGATGGTTAACAAAGACAAAGAAAGCTGAGGAAACATGTGAGTTCTGCACACCAGTTGGCCAACGTTCTAGCCCAACAAATAAGCGCTGCAGATGGCTGCTCAGCGAGGGCAGGGGAGGCCTGAGCTCTTACCGGCTGTGCTGCATCAGCCTGTCTCTACGGCACACACGCTACTATGGGAAGAACCCAGCGAGAGTCTCGGGCAGTCGGGGCTAGTCATGCAAAGTGCAGGATTCCCTCACGGAACAACACCGACTGTGAAAGAGATGGTAGCATGCTAGAGAGATAGCCCAACGCACCTCCCTCATGATTTGCTTTGCATGTGGAAGGCCCAGGTTCATGCTGCGTGACCCCCAGGTGTCACCCACAGAGCCAGAAGTAGCCCCGGACCACCACCAGATGTGGCAAAAAAAAATAAAACAATTGAAAAATATATGTATGTATATTGAAGCTAGAGGGATAGTATAACAGATATGGTTTTTGACTTGCATGTGGCTGACCTAGGTTCAACCCCTGGCATCCCATAAGATCCCTGAGCCCACCAGGAGTGATCCCTGAGTGCAGAGTCAGGAGTAAGTCCTGAGCACTGCTGGGTGTTGCTAAGAAATATATACATATATATCATATATATCATGAAGACTAGATAACAACATGGTAAAATGCACATGCTATAATAAGTTAATAGAGCTAAATATTATTATTTTAATTCCGCAATGGATACATAAAAGATATCATATAATATTGCAATGTTGATCGTATTAGGAGTTGAGTTTTTACCCAAATTTACCAAATTTTTCACCAAAGTTTTTACCAAATTTTTTATATTCATATATTCCTCTGTATATATTCCTATATTCTTCTGTTAAGGAATAAATTGGGTTTTTTTACAGGGTCAGAGCCATAGTATAGTCTGTAGGGGTCTTTCCTTGCATGCAGCCAACCTGGCTTCTATCCCTGGCATGCCATATCCTGAGCACCACCAGAAGAAATTCCTAATTCCTAAGTGCAGAGCCAGGGGTAACCCTTGAATATTTCCAGGTATAGTCCATAAAGCAAAGCAAAACAAACAAACAAACAAACAAATATGTATTGTAGTTCAAGTGGCAGAATGAGAGAGACAGCAGGCCCAAGCGATAATACAGAGGGTGAGGCACTTGCCTCACACAAGGCCAACCTGGGATATTGGTTTCCCAGTATCCCAGCACAGAGCCAGTAGTGACCACTGAACATCCAGTGATGCCCACTGCCCCCACCAAAAAAAATTCAATGAGTCTAGTTCAGGAGCATGCAAACATTTATTGGGGCCAGAGCAATAGTATAGTGGGTAGGGTGTTTTCCTTGCACATAACCGACATGCATTACAAAACTGGCATCCAAAATGGTCCCCTGAGCACCACCAGGAATAATTCCTGAGCTCAAAGCCAGGTGTGCCCCCCCACCCAACTGTAAAGCACTGTCCTCCTGTTGTTCATCTATTTGCTCAAGCGGGTCCAGTAACATCTCCATTGTGAGACTTGTTGTTACTGTGTTTTGCATATCAAACACGTCACAGGGAGGTTGCCAGGCTTTGCCATGCGGGCAAAACACTCTCTGTAGCTTGCTGGGCTCTCTGAGAGGGGCAGAGGAATTGAACCCAGGTCGGCCGTGTGCAGGGCAAATGCCCTACCACTGTGCTATCTCTCCAGCCCCCCACCTCAATTAAAATCAATTTTTAAATATTCTTCCAATGAACCAATAAATAAATAAATAGAGACAGCAGCTACCTGGCATGGAAAGTTTAAAACCTGGTTTTCAATACCCAGGGCAGGATGGGTAAAAGAAAAACATGTTGGATTTCAAGTTACTTCCATCTGTGCTAGGAGTCCCCACCTCCCCTCCACCACCACCACACGCACTTCTGCAGACTCTGTCTTCCTTGAAATCAGAGGATCTCTGGATGCCTACACAAACCCTGGGATCTGTTAGCAGATGAGGAAAAGGACCATCCCACTCCTGAGAGCCACAAATAGACTGTTGACAGTGAAACAAAGTGGCCCTCTCAGATGCATCTCGGACTTCGTCCCATACTTCAGCCTGCGTCAGAACCTCCCCCACTTGCAGCTTGTTAAACCATAAAGCTCCTGGGGCCAGAGAGATGGCTCCGTGGGTTGAGAGCACACTTCGCACGCAGGAGACCTGGCTTTGATCCCCAGCACCGCATGGTTCCCTGAGCATCACTAGGAACAACCCTGGGAGCAGCTCCTGAGCACCACTGCTGTGGCCCAACAACCTCCCAAAAAGTTTTAAATAGAGCACACAATACCGATCATCTAGATGTACATTCATCGTCATCATCCCATCAATTTTAAAACGTTTTTCACTACCTGAAAAAGAAGCCCCTTTAACTCTCGGTGCCCTCTTCCCATTTCCCTACCCCAAACTCAGTAGTCTGTCTCCTTCCCCATTTTATTTGCATATTCTGCACATTTATGAGAATGAAGTCATTAAATGTGCTCTTTGTGATGAACTTCTTTTTTTTTTTCATTTTTTTTTCTTTTTTATTAGTGAAACGACATGAGGTACAGTTGTAGATTTACAAATTTTTGTGCTTGGATCTCGGTCATACCACGATCAAATACCCATCCCTCCACCAGTGCCCATTTTCCACCACCAGGATAATATCCCTCCCCCCCATCCTCCCATCCCCCCATCCCCCCCTGCCACTGTGGCAGGGCATTCCCCCCTGTTCTTCTTTAGCCAGCACAGTGCTTTCAAAGTTAGCCCAACCTTGGCATACAGCCGTAGTTCTTTTTTAACCTATATAGCCAAATTTCATCTGAGTTGCTATGTTATTTGAGGGGGTCTGCAAATGCTTGAGTTTTTTCTAAATTCATGGTAAAGAGTCCCCAACATAACCTACCAAATTAAGAATGGTCTGCTTTTGGGTGTTTGTTTGTTTGTTTGTTTGTTTTTAGGAATGAACTACTTTTGGATAGGGAAGAAAGCCCACTGCCCAGGAGATCCTTATATCCTGTTTTGTTTCTATTCTGCAATTGGTGGAAGTTCAGTGTTTGTACCTTCTGGGCACTTGACCACTGCTTTGGGTACCAGCTTTTTGTGTGTACATCCATGTTCATTTCTCTTACATACCTAGGAGTCAAATCACTGCCAGGTACTTAGTGTCCTCATCTGGGCAGCTGGCCAGGCTTCCCCAGAGTTTGCATTCCTACCTACCTACAGTGCAGGAGGGCCCCAATTGATCTACCCCCTTGTCAGCATTTATTATGATAATACTACCTAAGGGTAGTATCTCCTAATGATTTAGACTTGCATTTCCTTAATAGCTTATGATGTTGAACACCTTTATTTATTTTTATTGGCATTCTACTAGAAACTCAGATTTAAATCTACGATGAAATCAGAGTCCTGACAGGAGACTTGTATAGGTTTGGTATTTAGAAGTCTAGGCTCAAGGCAAGGACTGAGAGCAAGCCCCGTTATCTTCCAGATGACTAAACAAGATTGAGGTGGGCTACGTCCCCATCTAAGGGTCTGGCCAAGAAGAAGGCATTTTTTATGAGTAACTTAATTAGCAGAGCAGGATTATAAACTTAGGTATCAGAAATCAGTAGTTACAGAGTTTCCTAAATTGCTCCCCGATTCTAAAGCTATGACATAACTACCAGGTCAAGACTACAGTGGGCCAGAGTCCCAAATCCCTGGGAACGACCAAATCTGCTGTGATGTAGCATGTCTTTAATCTATCTCTGTTTGCCTGGGGGGTAGAAATGGTGCAGGTGTGAAGCAGAATACAAACCCACATCGGTGCCAGTCCCTGACAAAGCAAGAGGAGGGAGCCCGATCGAAGGACCCACTCTAGAGGCAGAATAAAGGCTCACTGTGCCTGTGTTTAAATCTACCTTCCTAGAAACTATAACGAGAAACATCACCACCAAAAAGCCAAGCTTCGCAGAGTCAAGGATCGTTGGGCTCAGGAAGTAGAACAACGAGATGAGAGGATTAAGCTACTGGAAAACGAAGTTGCTGCCCTACGACAACAGTATGGAAAGGTGAGAGAAAAAAAAATGGCGATGAGCTCACCTGTGCAGCCATATTCAGGCATGGAATGAACCTCTGGGTGTCACACTTCCTCAAAATCTCTTCATCGCCCATTTCTGTTCCCCACCTCCTTTCAGTGTGAATCATCCTTCCAACCCTGGATGGAAATCTGTGACTCACAGTGGTAATAACTAATATCGACACCAAAAATACTGACATATCAGCACTGACAATTCAAGGTCAGTGTTTCGCCTTCAAGGAAAATAAGTACCTGGGGCTAGAGAAATAGGACAGTGGGCAGGGCCCTTGCGTTGCATGCATCTAACCTAGATTTGATCTCTGGTCAGAAATCATTTCCCTGAGTACAAATCCAGGACTAAGCCTTGAGCACGACCAGGTGTGGCCACAAAGCAGACAACAACAAGAACCTACCTAAGCTGAGGTAACAGAAGCCAGTCGCTTGGATTTTTCAGTGTCTGTCTATTTTGTCACTAGTTTGAAAAGGCTGTGATCCAGGTTAGACTCTCAAGTAGGAAACAACCTGGGAAGGTTGCAGAGAAAGTAGTGGTGGTGGCTAACAGGCCTCCAGAAGCAGAGGGCTTCTTCCCCATTGCTGATTCGCCCTCTCCCCCACCCCCCATCTACCTCCAAGTCCGGGCTAGCTACCTCCTTTCTGACCATTTAGAAATGCAGAGTATACTATTCATGCAATGGTTGCTTCCACTCTCAATCCTAATTTTAAGTATATTTATATACAAGCACAAAAGATTACTATTAGTCAGTGGAGGGTCTGGAATGAAGGACCTTAACATCTGGAATGGGGATTCAAGAGAGAGCCCAGTGGGCTGGAGTGCCAGGTTTGCATGTGGGATGCCCGGGTTCGTTCTCCAGTACTGCATGCTCCCCTGAGCAACACTGGAGCAGCCCCTATCCATGGAGCTGGGAGAGCACCTGAGCACTGCCAGCTATGACTCAAAAATAAAATATGGAATTGTTTGATACAGAACATCTATAATCCCATAGTTCTCTAATAATGAATGGACTAAGGTGTGGAGAGCAAAGAGTGTAGTACAGGGGGTAATGCACTTGCCTTGCATGTGGCCAGACCTGGTTTGATCCCTGGAACTCTATCTATGGTCCTCTGAGCACTGCCAGGAGTGACCCACCATCACTGCCAGCTATGACCAAAATAAGCAAACAGATTAATTAGTAGATAGTCTTTTCTGAAATACATACAGACATATATAATATATCTTGAGGGGTACCACATCTGGAAATGCTCAGGACTTACTCCTTGCAGGCTCATGGAACCATTGGGGATGCCAGGACCAAACCCATATTGGCCACCTGCAAAGCAAGCACTTACCTGCTGTGCTATTGCTCCTGCCCCTGAATGATCTTGATTAGTACCTTGTTTTGTTTGGAGGGGTCACAACCAAGCAGTATTTGGTAGCTGCCCCCAGCTCTGTGCTTGGGATTGCTCAGAGCACCAAACTCCCTCCACCAAAGACCAAGATTATAAAGAAGAGGAAAAATAGAGACAAAATTTTCAATAAGGCACTTAATATGTTTGGGTTCATTGATTGGTATTTTGATGCCTGTGGAAAAGGAATAGTATCTTGTTGGAAGTTGGACGCTCAGGTAATTTTAAGCACTAACCAAAATAGGAGTTTAAGAAACAATACATGGGGTAGGACATTTGCCTTACACACAGCCGACCTGGGTCAAATTCTTGGCACCACATATGTTCCCCTGAGAACTGTCAGAAGTGATCCCTCAGCACAGCCAGGAGTAATCCCCGAGCACCACCGGGTGTGGTCCCCAAAAAAGAAATGTTAACCAAAAGAAACACCCCCCCCAAAAAAATACATGCTATAAAAACAATGAAATGAATAGTGTCCAACTGACAATGTCAACAAACAGGAAAACAGATTATGAGGACCAGAGAGCAGAAGAGGAAATGAAATGAAAACTTAGAAACGGGCAAATGCTCTTGGACTTGTAGTTCTTTATCTTATTGTAGTAATTCAGGGATCTGGTTCACTCCTAGGAGAAGGCATTCCAGGACCATGTCACTTCCCAAAATAATACTCTGCTCCTCGAAAATGAGAAACTTCTAGAGCAACTCACAGAGAAGGAAGAATTGATCCACAGTAACAAGTGGGTAATCACATCTGTCCAGAGCAGGTAGGTATGGTACTGCCAAAGAGCTCCACAAAGAGGCTGTTTCTGCCTCAACAAAAGACTGTCCTCCAAATGTGCTGCCTGTCTCAATTGTTGCTCTCCTGTCTGCCAGGTTTGGCAACTCATGCACATGGCAGAAGTGAAATTACAGAGAGTAACCTGCATTTGTGTGTGTGTGTGTGTGGGGGGGGGGGGGGGGTTGGAGCAGGGAAGTTGGCCCTGCAGGTTTCCCACAGTTTCCCACAGTCTCTGACGCCCTGAAGATCCACTGTGCTTATCTTTACCTTGGTTTGATACTGATTTTTTTTTTATTTGATACCTGTGGGCTGGAGCGATAGCACAGCGGGTAGGGCGTTCGCCTTACAAGCGGCCAACACGGCCAACCCGAGTTCGATTCCTCCGCCCCTCTCGGAGAGCCCGGCAAGTTACCGAGAGTATTCGATATGCCAGACACAGTAACAACAAAGTCTCCAATGGAGACGTTACTGGGCCCGCTCGAGCAAATCGACGATCAACGGGAGGGCCTTTACCTTTTACCTGTGGTAAGGCAAGAGAGAATCGGGGTCATATTAGTGACTCAAATTCAAGAAATCCACAACACACCAATGCAGTAATTCATAACTAGAAATATGCCCAAGCAGCTAAGAATTCTCATGCTCTGGCATGAAATATGCCCAGGCAGGTTGCTCAAAGAGTTGGAGCATGCGCAGTCACGGGCCTGACCCCCAGCACCATATGTCCCTCTGATACTGGAGGTAGCTAGCTCTGGTAGCCCCGAAACCTGGTGGCCCCCACGCTAGCCAGCTGAGTCGCACTGTGCCACTGGTTTGAATACCAAACTGCTAATCCAGGCATGACTGGCAGTGCCCTCCTGCCAACCAGCTCTGCTGCTACCAAACACTTCTACCCTCCAGGCCAAGTCTTCTCTCCTTGGTACAAAACTTTGATTACAATCAGAAGTGTTCTCAGAGCCCAAAATCTGAGCAAAGACTGTGGGTTGATTTTAACAGTGTCCCCAGCGTTGGTAAGGACTCAGATTAGCATTTTGTTAACACCACAGCAGCTGAACTCTGCTCTGAGCTCTCTAGTCACTAAATCCATTCACACCTGGCCCCTAAGGACACAATATTTTAGCCTGGAGAGGGAAGGGGACTCAGCCTCAACAGGGGCTGGGCAGAGCGTGAACCTTAGTGGCCACCTGGAAGAGGAGGGTCCTCTTTCCTGCTGCTCCGAGCACAAAGACGCCCCCGATCCCCTTGCTTGCTTGCTTGCTTGCAGCCATGTGTCTGTGTCTGCTCCATACCAGGCCCGGCCTTTCTTCAGCGTTGTCCTAAACCCTGGCCGCCCCTGCTTTGTGGATTATCTGTATTAAATTGGAATGAGGTGCAGACTGCAAAACTCCAATACGCAGAGTGCCCTGTTCAGTCCCACCCCGTGGGGTCCTAGCTCACCTTAAGTTTCCAAGGGCTGGAATTGTGCCTTTCATCCTCTTGTATATAATATAGTTCTGCTCTCAGTTGGTACTTCATGGCTACAGGCAGGTTAGAGACTTACTCTGTTTTATTTGGTCTTGGAAGAAGATAAGAATTACTCTGCCAAAGTTGGTTCTAGGGGCTGGAGAGATAGCACAGCGGGTAGGGCGTTTGCCTTGCACGCAGCCGACCCAGGTTCGATTCCCAGCATCCCATATGGTCCACTGAGCACCGCCAGGAGTGATTCCTGAGTGCAGAGCCAGGAGTAACCCTTGTGCATCGCCGGGTGTGATCCAGAAAGAAAAAAAAAATAGTTGGTTCTAAAATTTAAACTCAGATATTTGGTCATTGTATAATTGAAATCCAAGCACAAAAATTTGTAAGCCTACAACTGTACCAGAGACTATAAAACCCAGCTCCCGGAAGTGCGCGGCCGCGACATCTTATTGTCTCATCCTTACTTTGGACAACATGGCAGGCTACCGAATGTGACCTGCCCACATGGCAGAGTCCGGCAAACTCCCCGTGGCATACCCAATATGCCAAATACCAGTAACAATGATGGGTCTCATTCTCGTAACCCTGAAAGAGCCTTGAATATGGCACTTTTTTAAAAATCTCAGGGATAGGATTAAGGAGACGTTACTGGGGCCTGCTCGAGGCAATCGACCAACAACAGGACGATCGTGATCGTGACAACTGTACCTCATAGTGTTTCACTAATAAAAAAAATAAATAAATAAAATAAAAAAATTTAAACCCAGAGCTAGTGGGAAATGGGACATGGGTCTTAGTGGCGATCAAGAAATGGGTAGTTAAGCCTCTGATTTGTGCCGTTTGTAGAGTATTCTTCCTGGATAAGGAAAATAAACAGCTGCAAGAGAACAGTCTGCGGCTCACCCAGCAGGTGGGTCTCTTGGAGCGCATTCTGCGGAGCATGCAGATCCGCACGGGAGAGGTAAGCGTGGGCGCTGGGCTGGGGCCTTCGCTGGAAGTTGGGGGTGCTAAGAGGGATGTGTTCTCGCTTTCTTCTTTTCTGGAGTCTGCATGTGGCCCCATGGCGGGGTCTGAGAAAGAACACACAGGCTGCGTACCGGGCAGCAGACAAGGCTACTTGGGGCCAGCTTCGCCTTTGCTTGGTCAACTTCCGTTACACCTCCTTCTCCTCCTCTGGGACCATAGAGAAAGTTCTGAATGACTCGTAACTTCTTCCTTAGCACATGGCATTGCCGTTGCCTTTTGACTTCACTATCTCAACTCAGTGACATCCTGAAAGACAAGGATCCTCCCTCTTATGTCACTGCAGTTGGGGGGAGATACTCCACAAATCCTTTCAAACAAATGGATAGTAAATGTTTCCACAAGTACATCTCACTCTCGACAACACTGTTTTGTGTGTATTCTTCCAGACCCATCCGAGAGATAAGGAAACCAAAGGCTCAGGGAAAAGTGAGAAGGCGAAGGGATAGTACAGCAGGTAGTGTGGTTGCCTTGCACACGGCCGACCTGGTTTTGATCCCCCGCATCTCATAAGGTCCCCTGAGCCTGCCAGGAGTGATGACTGAGTGCAGAGCCAGGAGTAAGCCCTGAGCATCGCGGGATATGGGCCAAACAAACCACAAACCAGAGAGATAAAGAGAGAGAGAGACGGAGAGAGAGAGAAAAAGAGAAAGAGAGAGAGAGAGAAAGTAAAATTAGGCTGGATTAACAAGGAGTCAAGCCAAGAATAACAAATGAGTCAGTGAAAAGTAATTAAGTTCCTCAAATATAAGCGGAAAGTAGCCAGTTCTAGAAAGCTGTTACTAATAGTGTAGGTTCAGACATTGTCCAAAGTCTAGTAGCTAAGTTAGTCAACAAGAGGGACTTCGGGAAGCAGAACTGCATCCTGAATCAAGGAGAGATTTCTCACTCTCTTCCCTGGCTTATCTCATCCCTTGCTAGATATTTCTTCCAGAACACTTATAGCAAATCCTACTTAATAAATATTATTGTTATGAAGATATGACTTGCAGTCTTTTATTTATTTATGTATGTATTTATTTTGCCACATCCAGCAGTGCTCAGGGGTTACTCTTGGTTCCACACTCAGGATCCACCTCTAATGGTTCTTGAGGGAACCATATGGGATGTGAGAATTGAATCTGGGTCACCAGTATGCAAGGCAAACACCCTACTCACTGTACTGTCTCTCTGGCCCCAAGCCCTGCATCTCTTGTTTGCTCACAAGAGAAATTATTATTTCTAGGTTTTTTTCTGCTTCACATCTTGAAAATAATGTCAAAAGTAAAATATCAACAAAAGTCCACATGCTTTTGTTTTACTTTGCCTTACTTACTGACTTCCCTAACTGACCTTCCCATTTCTCCCTCCAATATTTATTTTAACTGAGCTTTTGCTTTATTTTTTAAAATTGGGGAGGGTTGGGCTGGAGCACAGTGGGTAGGGCATTTGCCTTGCCAACCCGGGTTCGATTCCCAGCACCTCATATGGTTCCCTCAAGCACCATCAGGTGTAATTCCTGAGTGCATGAGCCAGGAGTAACCCTTGTGCATCGCTGGGTGTGACCCCAAAAGAAAAAAAATATTGGGGAGGGTGATGGAGAGATAATACAGCGAGTAGTACCTTGCTTTGCACAAAGCCAACACATGTTTGATCCCCAGCATCTATATGGTCCCCTGAGCACTGGCAAGAGTGACCCCTGAGTACTGAACTAGTAGTTAAGCTCTATTTTTTTAAAATATTACAAGTTTTTATTCCTTTTTAGGCCATTCCCAACTGTGGTTAGGGAACTGGAGGATAGTACAGCAGGTAAGGTACGTGCCTGACCTGCATTTGATCCCTGACATTCCATAAGGTCCCCCAGGAGGAATTCCTGAGTTCAGAGCCAGGAGAAACCACTGAGCACCACTGGGTGTGACCCAAAAACAAAAACAAACTTAGGTCTTACTCCTGACTCATTTCTCAGGGAATCACTCCTGGAACTAGATGGTGGGCCATATGTGGTGCTGAAGATCAAACCAGAGTTGATCACACACAGGGCAAGTACCCAGACCCCTGTCCCACCTCTCTTAACTGAGGTGTTTAAGCTCATATCTGAACTATGTTGAGTGAGGTACTGAATCTGAGTCTCTCCATGTATATAGTTGATATATATATACATATATATAATTAAGAATCCTTTTGACTTTTTTCTTAAAAGGAGTCACCCAATTATTTTAACGTAATTTTCAATGGTTTATATCTTTGCTTAAGCTGTAACTGTTCTTGGTTATCTGTCACTCACTCTTATTTAATCTCTTGTTCAGAAAACATTTATGAATTCTGGAATCTAGCCTAGATCTTTTCTTTTCTTTTTTGGGTCACACAAGATTTACTCCTGGCTCTGCATTCAGGAATTACTCCTGGCAGTGCTTGGGGGACCATATGGAATGCTGAGGATCAAACTTAAGTCAGCCGCGTGCAAGGCAAATGCCCTACCCACTGTACTTTCCCCTCAAAATTATTTTTGAATTTAGAATTTTCAGGATCCTACAAATCAGTACCTCATTTAATATAAGGTGGAGAGAAAATTCAGATAGTTTAAATGACATCTCTCAGGTCACAGAAATCCTGCTTATCTTTCCTAGGTCTTTTGATCCTTGGCTATTGAGTATCACATACTACAAATAGGTCAGTATATTGAATCCCTGAGATCAGACATGTCTGAGGTTCCATCCATCCTTGTAATATTTCAGTGGTTCAATTGGTAATAAATTAACATTTGTTGAATGACTACTATGAATTAAATAATACAGGCAAAAATATAGGACAGTACCAGACATACATAGAAATAACTCAACAAATATTAATTTCTCACCAGTTTAGTCCTTTGATCTATCTCTCCAGCCTAGAATTTGATATTTTTACATTTCACATAAAATTAAGATTATATAGTACTCTTCTTCACACACACATGCTTTCTTATTTCAGTTAGAATAATTCTATAATTATTATTCAGTTAGAATAATTCCAAGATCTATATATGTTGTTACAAATAACAGAGTTTTCTTTTGATTTTTATAGCTGATTAATATTCCTTATTCATTTATCTATTGATAGACACATTGCTTTTGTATTCTGTCTGTGGTAAATAGTGTTGTGATGAGCAGAAGGTGCAGATATCTCTTGAGCTAGAGATTTTGTGTCCTTTGGATATGTGCACAGAGGTGCCATTGCTGTATCCTACTTGAGGAGCCTCCTGTATTATTTTCCATGGTGATGGCACCAGATTACATTCCCATCAGTAGTACACAAGGCATCCCCTTTGTTCCACATCCCTGCCTCTCTTTGTCACTTCTTGTCTTTTTTGAAGAACCTTTACTTACATGCTCGAACAGGTACAAGAGAAGGGGATCAAATTGTTAACCGAGAAATGGAAAACTAGTAAGTTCTAGGCATCCGTTGCCAATGACTAGTCATTACAATTTTTAATATTCATCTTATTTTCCATTCTAGGAAGCAAATGGTCATATACCTGAACTTGAACATTTGGCTAGAACCTTGCCCTTTTCAAACTCCAGGTTAGTAAAGACAATCATCTCTATGTCTAAGTGCCATGGTGCCCACTAGTCCTGAGTTGCTAGCAGGAGAACACTTGGTATATGGAGATAATTTTCTCAATATTTAATATTTGAGTCTTCCTTCAGTGCATTCTCCCCTTATCGCTACTTGGCATGCACACACACACACACACACACACACACACACACACACACACACACATGCGCACGTGATCCTGACTTAAGGTAGAGTATAATTAATACACATAACTTCAAGTTCAATTTTATGTGGTTTTCTTTGTTTTTGACAGCTGTAAAAGAACTAAACTAACCAATCGTTGTCTTTTCATTATAATTCCGGCCTGCTACCAAGTGTCCTCACATGTGGCCTTTCTTAGTTTTTCAGGAAGATGCTTGATAGAATCAGCTGAGCGTCTCCAAGAGGCTGAAGATCATAAGCCAGAAGATGCAATGACAAATCTCAAGTCCTGTGTGGGTCTTTTGGCTTCCCAGAATTCCGAGACTAGTTGTATTAACCTGGCTTCTCTGAATGAGACAAATATCATCCAAGAACAAGACAGTAAGTCAGAGCTATAAAAAAAAATCACTAATATCTAAATCTAGACGGATTAGAGCAACTAACTTAAAGTCTTGGCAAGAAGGTGGAACAAGACATGAAGAATATCCACAGGATCCTACTGGACCAGTAGTTTGCAAAATTTTTTTATACTCATTAAATCAGTTCTTAAAATGGATGTCTCAAGTTTGGTTGATCTCCTCAGATGCCTGCTATGAATCAATGTAGTGTTTAAGTTTAGGGGCTTCAAAAGAGCACAGCCTTGGCCTAGTCAGCAAACTTTCTTATCTCATGAGCATTTCCTTATGTTTAAAAGTAAAAATAGCATAACTGAGTTAAAGCAAAAACTTTAAAAAAGGAAAAATCCCTTGGGGCAGAAGAGATAATACATGGGTAAGGCAATTGCCTCGCATGTGTTGGTTGACCTAGGTTCAATCCCAAGCCCCATATATGGTCCTCCAAGCCCCACTAGGAGTGATCCCTGAGTGCAGAGCCAGGAGCAAGGCCTGAGCACTACTGGTAATGTCCCAAAAACCAAAAGAATATCTATTATAAAATTATATATGACCCCACACAACTAGTAAACACAGCTTGTTAAGTGCATGCCTTGTATGCATGAGATCTTCAATCATTGGCTTGGGATGGGGTTGGAGGGGTCCTAGAAGATTCATTCTATCTAAACACAACTGTTTTCATTTTGTAGTTAGTCCTTGTGGTTCTTATTTAAATGTATGTCTTTTATTTGTTTGGGGCCACACGAAGTTGGGCTCAAGGGACCATATGGGGATGCCAGGAATAGTCAGGGTTGACCTCATGCAAGGCAACCACCTTACCTGCTGTACTACCTCTCCAGACGCTCAATTGCATATATTTTAATGGTTGCATTATTTCTATAGTCTAGTTTCTTTGCATTTAACATACCATAAAGCATTTTTCTCTTATTTCAATAGCACTAATAATTCTTACTACGATAGCACAGTGGTAGGGCATTTGCCTTGCACGCAGCCAAGATAGCCAACCCAAGTTCGATTCCTCCACCCCTCTCAGAGAGCCCGGCCAGCTGCCGAGAGTATCTCGCCCGCACGGCAGAGCCTGGCAAGCTACCTGTGACGTATTCGATACACCAAACATAGTAACAAGAAGTCTCATGATGGAGACGTTACTGGGCCCGCTCGAGCAAATCGATGAACAACGGGAGGACCATGACCGTGACGGCCAAGTGATATTCTATATGTTGATGTTCTATAAATTCTTTTGCTTTATCACTTAAATTGTTTCAACTTTTCACTATTTAATATTATTCTGTTGTGAAATCCTTGTGAGTATAACTCTTAGCTAAATTTATTTCAGCAAATTCACAAGATTGACATTATTGGGTTAAAACATGTATGTGCTATATAGTTTGCTTGCTGTATCACTTAAAAAAAAAAAGGTGTGAGCCAAAGAAAATGGTAAACAGGTTAAGGCACTTGCAGCCATCTCTGTTTCTACCTGTCGAACTGCATATGGTCTCCCAAACACTTCCAGGGGCATTCCTGAGCATAGAGCCAGGAATTTTCCTTGAGAACTGCTAGGGGTGACCCAATACCTTGCCCCTCCTCCCCAACAGCCGAGAAAGGTTTTATCGACTATTGTTCTGTAGTCAAACTTTTAAATCATCAATTTCTTGATCCATAAAATGGAAATACGTTCCTGTTGCATATTTCAAATACGAACTATGCATTTAGCACTTAGAAACAGGTTTTGGGAGTGGTTGGGTTTTTTTTTTTTTTCAATTTTTGGGTCATAGCCAGTAATGCTCAGGGGTTACTCCTGGCACTGCACACAGGAATTACTCCTGAAAATATTCAGGGGGCCACATCAGCTGCCGGGGATCAGTCTCAGGTTAGAGCCCTACCCACTGTGCTATCTCTCTAGCCCTAGATTTTATTTTTTCATAGTAGTCTTTCCACAACTATCTTTTCTACAACTTCAATATTGGAGATTATCAATTCTAAACATTTACTGAAAAGTAGTTGGTATGACTCAAGGGTTATCACTGCTGCTGCTTCCTTTCCTCCTTTGCCTCATCTCCTTGTTTGTCCTTTTTTGGCACATACCCAGTGGAGCTAATGGCTCACTCCTGAATCTGAGCTCAGGTATCACTCCTGATGGGGCTCAGGGAACAATATGGAGTGCTGGGGAAACTGCCACGTGCAAGATAAGGACCCTACCTGCTATGCAAGAGGAGAAATAGCTAGAAATGTTTAGACAACTTGATTGAGATATTGATATAGTGACTGAGGATGTGGTTCTAAGAATCAAACCCAGAGCCTTATTCATGAAAAGCATCTGCTCTTCTACTGAGTACATCCTCAACCATAAGACACTGAATATTTTGTTTGTTTTCTATTTTGTTTTGGAGCCACACCTGACTATTCTCAGGGGTTACTCCTGACTCTGAGCTCAAGCATCACTCCTGGTGGTGCTCAGGGGACCATATGTAATGCCAGCGATTTTGAACCCAGGCAATTGCCGTGCAAACCAAGCACCCTGCCCACTGTTTTATCTTTCTGGCCCCAAAACATTGAATTTTTATATGTAATAACCAAAACTAGAAAGAATGACTAAAGGAATATAAAAAATGAACAAGCTATCAAATATATGTTCTGAGCATCAAGTCGTGTCCAAGCCCATCTTTCACCCAATTCATATTATCTGTGCACTGAGTTTCTACTAAGTACTGGTCAGTAGTGGTCACTGTAGCCACAGCTGTGAAGACAGACAAAAACTGCTCTCAAGGAGTTAATATACCATTAGGTTGAAGGTTATGTGTGTGGCAGGGTGGTTAAGTGTGAGTATAGCATATAATTTTAATGAGTGAAAGACATGGAGAATGTAGACTATGGCCTATCTGAAGGGCAGAGAGGGCTATATTAGGTTGGATGGTGTTCCCACCTTAGTAGCAGCAGAGCTTAGTTCTGAACTTCTGGATCCCTCTGCACACCCATTAAGATTTAGGAAAATCCCGAGATAGCTCAACAGGTTGAGTGCAGGCTTTGCATGCATGATGCCCTGCTTCCATCTTTGGCCCCACATGGTCTCCTGCACTCCAGCACAGAACCTGGAGTAGTCCTTGAGTACCACCAGGTATACTCAAACAAAATTTAGAAGATCCAGAAGAGGGGGGCTGGAACAATAGTACAGGTGGTAGGATGCTTGCCTTTTGTGTGGCTGACTGGGTTCGATCCTTGACAACCCATATGGTCCCCCAAGCCCTCCAGGAGTGATCCCTGAGCACAGAACCGGGAGTAAATCCTGAACACTGCTGGGTGTACACACACCCCCACGAAATAAAAATATCTATAATAGTATAATACAATAGCTAATACAAAGATCCTAAGAGACTACGAATCTGTGACCTCAAAGAACAGGTAAGTTGGGGCTGGAGCGATAGTACAGCGGGTAGGGCGTTTCCCTTGCACGTGGCCGACCAGGGTTCGATTCCCAGCATCCCAAATGATCCCCTGAGCACCACCAGGAGTAATTCCTGAGTGCAAATCCAGGAGTAACCCCTGTGCATCGCCAGGTGTGACCCAAAAAGGACCAAAAAAAAAGTGTATAGTGACTATTGTATATCACAGTGTAGTGAGAAATAACAAGGTGAGGCTGGCTAGGAGACAACCAGTTTAATGCCACGTAAGCCTCTTCATAAAAGGAATCGGATTTTATTCCAAACACGGGAAGCCTGGAGTGATTTATAGCAGACTTAATTTAGAAGGCCTTGCTGCTTTGTAGAAAATGAAATTGTGGATGATAAAATTGCAAAAGAGCTAGAACTAAAATTCAGGTGTCCTGATTTCTGCGTGAAACTGAGCAAGGTTACTATGCCAGGCTGTCCTAAATGCCTGGGAGGAAGGGTTCCCTGCCTTTAGGTGGCTCACAGGCTAGTGGGCAGGGATAAGAAACAGCCCGCGCGGGAATTCAGAAGCCTGAGCCAGCTGCAACTGTGTTGGTAGGGACCCGAGACCCCAGCTTGAATGAGAATGATTTGTGCTGCATTTAGTGTAGCCAGCATCCCAAATGGTCCCCTGAGCACCGAGACTTGAGCAAAACAGAGGCTTTGCTCCTCTGCAAAGAGGCTTGCTTCCTCTGACCTCCCCTGGCGGGAGAGTCAACTGGGATAACAGCCGGTGGCGGTCTTTGTGGCCGGGGCTACAGGCAGCCCCTGGACACCTTCGCGGGGCGGAGCAAGGGCGGGACTCGGGGGGGCGGGGCTCGGGGGCGGAGCCCTCCGGCTTCTGTTTCTGCGCCTGCGCGGAGGCGCGCGCGGCCTCGGGGTCACCGGAAGCCCGCCCCGCCAGCTTCTGCTTCCGGGTCGGAGCCATGGCGGTGGCAAATTCAAGCCCCGTCAACCCCGTGGTGTTCTTCGATGTCAGCATCGGCGGCCAGGTGAGGCCGGGGCGGCCACCCAGCCCCTCTCCGGAGGGAGCCTGCGCGGAGCGACGCCGGCGGGAGGACTCGGGGCGGGGACCGGGCAGCGGGGGGCGTGGGCGGGGCCGGCGGGAGCTGCCCCGCGGGGGCCCCCTCTGACAGCCCCGCGCCCTGGGCAGGAGGTGGGCCGCATGAAGATCGAGCTCTTTGCGGACGTGGTGCCCAAGACGGCCGAGAACTTTCGGTAAGGACGCCCCTGCCTCCGCGCCCTGCCGGTCCAGGGATGTCCGCGGGTCAGTCCGCCTGAACGTCCACCCCCGCGTGGACCGTGCCCGTGTCGCTCCGTTGTGGTTCGTCCCCGTGCCTGGCCGGTTGGTGTGGGGTCCCTGCATCTCCCGAGACGAGGGGCGCCCCGCGCAGTGGCGACCTGGCGACTGAGTCGCGCCCCCTTCCCTTTGCAGGCAGTTCTGCACCGGAGAGTTCAGGTCAGTGTCACGTGGTTGGCTTCTCCGCCCCGCCCCTCCCCCCGCGCCGGGACCAGGGTGGGGGGTGTCCTGGGGCTACTGTGAGGGTCTTTGGGGGGACCTTGAATGATGGCTGGTAGCAGTGATGGAGGCCAGACCCCATGGGACTAGTCTCCCTTCGTTTGCCTGCTCGATCGCCCCTCCGACCCCCCAGCTGGCTCCAGTGTGTGGTCAAACTTTCGAAAACGGCATCACCCCAAGTCTTTTTCTCTCTGGTTGTAGAAAAGACGGGGTTCCTATTGGATACAAAGGGAGCACCTTCCACAGGTGAGAACTTTGGCAAGCCATCCCCGGGGCCCGTGGAATTCATTACTTGCTTGGGAGAGGAGGTTCTTTAAAGGAAGAGAGAGAGACACACACACACACACACCCCCGCCCAAGGGTGGGCTGTTAGGTCTTTGAAGATTTGTTAAATATGAAAATGTTGTATTTTGAAATCAAGGACTAACAGATTCTTCTCTCGTGAACCGTTGTTCTGTTTTAGGGTTATAAAGGATTTCATGATTCAGGGGGGAGACTTTGTGAATGTGAGTATTGTTTTTTTTTCTTTATATCAAAACAAACCTGTTACGGGTATGTTTTCTTATTACTGATGTTTGTACTGTTTATACTATGGGGACCCAATCATTAGACTTGCAAACAGTAACCGAGTTTGATGAAGGCAGATGGAGATGGACTATCAGGCCACTAAGTGACAGACATCAACAGCCATGATCACGACCATCCTGTTATTCATCGATTGCCTCAAGCAAGCCCCAGTAAACGTCTCCTTCGTCCTAACCCTGAGATTTTTTTTAAAAAGTGCCATATTCAAGGCTCTTTCAGGGTTAGGAGAATGAGACCCTTCATTGTTACTAGTATTTGGCATATTGGGTACGCCACGGGGAGTTTGCCAGACTCTGCCGTGTGGGCAGGTTACATTCGGTAGCCTGCCAGTTTGTCCAAAGTAAGACAGGCATCAAAGTATGACAGACATCAACATTAAAAAAAAAAATTGTAGGGTGAAGGGGCAGGGGCAGGGATTGGAAAGATAGTACAGTGGGTAGGGCATTTGCCCCCTGTTCTATCCCTGTCATTCCATATCGTCCCCCGAGTACTGTGAGTAACCACTGAGCATCTCCAGGTGTGACCCAAAAAGTGGAAAAAATATATAGGTATGACCATTTTTTTTTTTAATGAGTGGTTTCTGGGAACTGGAGAGATAGTAAAGCCGATAGGGCATTTGCCTTGCATGCAGCTTACTTGGGTTCAGTTTGGAGAATCCCACCAGGAGTGATCCCTGAGTGCATACCCAGGAGTAAGCCCTGAGCACTATCAAGTGTGGCCCACTACAAAAAATAATGATTTCCCCCTTTCCCTGTTCTTTGTTTCCCTTTCTTCAGGTCTGATTACGCATGAACATTCAGTTTAGGTGCTTTTTGGAATTGTACTTTAGCTATGACTCCCACACATTCTGATGGTTGTGCTAGCTGTCGGTTAAACTTTCCCAAAAAACAGAGAGAACATCCCTCCAAAACTATCCACTGCTCTCTTGTTTTGATATCTTGTCCACTAATCAAATCCAAGACCTTCTAGTCAATGTGATACCAGGGAAAAGGAGGCATAAACTCATTAGTAAGGAGCTTAGCTCTCCTTCCACTCTGAAAAAAGTCAAGTTGCATTATATTTCTAGCGATGTTTCACAAATTTGGGTTCACCGTGAATCATCTATAGGTATGATGGAAAACTTCAGTTTCTGACCCTAAAGTATAGAGATTTGAACGAACCATGGATGTTTGTAACTCAACCAAAAACTCTTTCTTGTGACCATGTTATTTGACTCTTATCAAACCTTTTTCCCAAACTAAGAGGGTGCTGAATCAATCACCTTTTTGAGCTTTTGTTGTTGCTGTGTTTTTTTTGTATCACAGCCAGTGGTGCTCGGGGTTTTTTCCTGGCTCTGTGTTCAGGGATCACTCCTGGTGGGCTCTGGACATCGGTAGGGTACCTGTGAATAAAACCAGGTCATCTGTGTGCCCGGCAAGCACCTTCCCCACTGTGGGATCTTTCTAGTTCCAATCAAAAATTTCGCATTTTTTCCCTTTAAATTATTTTTTGTTCTTAAACACTTTTTTTTTGCATATAACTCTTTTTGTTGTTGTTGATTTTTTTTGCAAGTTCTTTAACATTTTATAACAAGAATCACTTCTCCAATTTCCAAGAACATTTTTCTCAACTCAGATACCTCAACAGAAACACCTTTAACATTCATATTTCTTCCCCTGCCCTTTTTTTTATTGAATCACCATGAAATACTCAGTTCCGAAGCTGTACATGGTTGGGTTTCAGTCATACAGTGTTCTAACACCCAGTCCTTCAACTGTGTACATTTCCCACTACCCATATCCCTAGCTTGCCTCCACTGCCACCCCTTCAACTGCCTGTATTGCAGACTTTTCTTCTGTCCCTCTCTCTTTCCTTCTAGGGATTGTGGTTTGCAATACAGACACTGAAAAGTTATCATGTACATCACTACCTCCTTTCAGCACTCAGTTCTTGTCCAGCCCACTCACTGCCGTGCATGGTCTTAGTATCGATTTGGTTATTCACACTGCTGCTTTCTTGGACCTGGGTGATGTTCTATCTTCTTTGTGTGTTAGATGCTCATGAGTTGTTTACACCTATCTTTCCTTTCCTAGGAAGTGATGCAGAATGATGGATTTTATGCAAACCTTGGCCACAACTGCTGTGGTATTGCATAGGACAACCATATACTTTTTTTTTTTTGTCACACTCGGCAATGCACAGGGGTTCCTCCTGACTCTGCGCTCAGGAATTACTCCTGGCAGTGCTCAGGGGACCATATGGGATGCTGGGAATCGAACCCAGGTTGGCCACGTGCAAGGCAAACGCCCTACCCGCTGTGCTATTGCTCCAGCCCCCCCAACCATATACTTTTGGCTAGCCAGTATGAAGTGCTTGAAAGGCTGTTCTTGACCTGCTTTTCTTTCCTTTCTTCTTTGTACAGCCATGTTAGCTTAGCAGGGAAATGTTCAACTTCTTTCTGATCATGCCAGACACCTGGATTAGTTAGCTGTAGGGTTAGACAGAAGTTGTTAGTGGCTGAGTGTCAGAAGTAACTAGCCAGGGGCTGGAGCGATAGCATAGCGGGTAGGGTGTTTGCCTTGCACGCGGCCGTCCCGGGTTCAATTCCCAGCATCCCATATGGTCCCCTGAGCACCGCCAGGAGTAATTCCTGAGTTCAGAGCCAAGAGAAACCCCTGTGCATTGCCAGGTGTGACCCAAAAAGAAAAAAAAAAGAAGTAATTACCCAGAGCCACTGATAGGGAAGAAAGCAGATGCAGAAGGGTTTGAGGACTTTGAAAGTTGGACCAGGAATATTTGATCTTGGTAATCTCTTCTCTCTTTGGGGGCTTGGGGACCATACGTCTGGGTGCTCAGAGCGCCACGTGTCGCATGAACCAGAGTCGGCTGCATGAAAGGCAAATACCTTAACCTCTGTACTGCCTCTCTCTGGTTCCTGTAAATAAATGGCTTAAAATTTGTTTTGTGGGGTTTTTTTTTTTTTTTGGTTTGTTTGTTTGCTTACAAAAGGAAAATGCAGAGGAAAAGACTTAGATTTCAAGGTTTTCACTTTTCACTATATCTAAAGGAATATAATATTTGTGTTTTAGTTTCTAGCTGCCAGGCTTATCTTTCCTTTCATGTGAATGTGAATTTTTAACAATCTTAGGGTCACTAATTCTTGTTTGTTTTCTTTTTGTTTGGGGGCGGGGGGACACACCGGGTGGTGTTCAGGGGTTACTCCTGGCTCCATGCTCAGGAATCACTCCTGACAGGGTTGGGGGGACCATAGAGGATGCCAGGGATCAAGTCCTGGTTGGCTGCATGCAAGGCGAGTGCCCTACCCTCTGTACTGTCTCTCTGGCCCCAGTCATTGATTTTTAATTTTTTATTGTTTAAATGCTTTCTGCATTTCCTCTTGTCATTAGGACTTTTAAAACATATTTCCTAGTAACTACCTATTATCCCATTATGAAAAGACAATTTATTTGTTCAATTCACTATTGAAGTTACTTTAGTGTGCTGAATAATTAATTTTGTCATTTTCCCTACTCTGGTTTCTTGAGAGCAGTAGATAGCGTGATTATAGAGGATGAAGTAACTGATCTGTCCCCTGAATTTATTGAGAAACTGGAAATGAACTTTTTTTCTCTTCCTTCTGTTTTTATGTATGTGGAGTTCAAGATACGGCAGCTCATGGATTGCAGGGTGCTTTTTCTCAGCACTTTCTAATTAAATTTTCTTGACAGCACTGTAAGGAGGAAACGATTTCCTCCTATCTTGATAGATTGGGGTGGATTCCCAGTTCAGAGTGGTGGCTCTGAACAAAACAAATCAGGCCTTTGGGTAGACTGTAGTGCAAAATATTTGGTTTCGAATAGTTGTTAATCAGATGAGTTTGGATTTGATGGTTATTTTTTGCCCTTTTGCTGTCACCAGGATGACAGACAGCAGGACTGCCACCGTCCTACTTGGCACATGTGGCATGCTGGGTATTTGAACTCAGGCCCCTACACTTGCAAGGTTCCAAGGCTGGTGCCCCTAGCCTCTGCGCCCTTCCTATAGACCCTTCAGGTTTATTCTTCCTGATTTATTTTAGTCTCCTTTGGGAGTCCTGGACCCAAAAAGAGACCCCTGATTTCTGCACTGTCGGTAGTAGTTTCCCTTCCTGTATGCACCAATATCCTTTTCTTTGCTTACTGGCTGGGAAAGACTAGTAGGTGGCCCCCCTCTTCATATCGCCTTGAAATCCCAGTGACTCTATTTGAAATACTACAAATGACTTTGGTCAAATTGTTTTGTTACGTGGATTTGTTTGCTTACCTGAGAAAAGAAGAGAAGATGATAGTGCAGATTCCACAGAACCATTAAAGAACAAACAGATAACAGCAAATAAAGCTTGTTTGGTAAAATTGGGAGCTTATGATAAAGGGCTTTGTGGGAGTTGGGGGTGCGAGGGGCCTAGTGGTACAGGGATGCTGATACTCTGGCCTGGAGCAGCATTGTATTCCTTAACCATTAATTCTAGTATTATAAATCATGGAGCATAAATTTAAAACTTTTTGTTTGTTTCTGTTTTGTGGTCACACCTCTCAGACTCTGCACTCAGGGGTCACTCCTGTTGGGCTCAGGGGACCCTCTGGGACACCAGAGATGAAACCGGATTGGCTGTGTGCAAAGCAGTACCCTACCACAGTAGTGCCACTCCAGCCCAATAAATTAAAAAAAGAATAATAATAATAACAGGGAAGAAAAGAGATGCTGTTTCATGGAAGCCAAAGGAAGAAATAGAACCAGGAGCTGGAAAGCCACAGAGGCAGTTCTCTCTGCATTTCTAGTGCCTCGCCCCTCCCACATACACCTGTGTTCTCCTGCTGTTTCCAGATCTACCTGAAGAAGGTAGCCACCTCCGGCTTTCCATGCACACACAAGTTTCCACATCAAAGAGATCATCTGTCCTACCTCTTGATTCCCAGATGAGGAATTCCAGTTGACACTGCAAGAACTAGGTGTTCTCTCACCCAAGAGTGGTCAGGAGGGTAATATCCACGCACTCACTGACCCTAATAATTTGGGGAAATGGAGCAGTAGTTGGTTCATTGGGTCATTTGATATGACTGAGGGCATGAGTGAGAGCTTTTGTGAATGGCAAGAAGAGCATGTGGGGCTGGAGTGATAGTATAGAATGTAGGATACTTGGCTTGCACGAAGCTGACCCATATTTAATCCCTGGCACCTTATAAGGTCCCCCGAGCCCTGCCAAGAGTGATTCATCCCTGAGCACCACCGGGTGTGGCACCCAAACAAAAAAGAATAACGTGATCATAGTGTTGTTATTCTCCGCTTTGACTCCTTCTCTCGGCCCAGCTGTGACCCATATTACCTAAAGTCTGGGCTGCCGGAGTCACTTTGTGTGCTGCAGTGCTGTGATTGCAGGCCAGGGTCAAAGAGACCTGGTTCCCGCAGTGACCTATCAGAGAAAGGATGAGTTTCGGAGAAGCTGGGCTTTCAGTGCACCGCCCTCTTTTTCTGGGCTCCAGGCAAGTTGCTAACACATCCCCTTCTTTCTTCCAGGGAGATGGGACTGGAGTTGCCAGTATTTATCGGGGACCATTTGCAGATGAAAATTTTAAACTGAGACACTCTGCTCCAGGCCTGCTTTCCATGGTAAGTGAGGACCAGTCAAGGTTTCGAGTTAGATTGGTAGTCACCGAGGCCCAGTGGTCTCTCTTGGAATGGAAAGAAGTGCTTGGCACAGTGCTCACTCTCCCTCGGCCTGTCTCTGTTGCCTGGACTGCTAGACTCTAGCAAACTAGGGGAACAAAATTGAACTCTTGGTTTGATCCAAGAGATGAGCTGGGCATTCAGCCTGGCCACTCGGATGCGGCCAGTGGTGCTTTCCAGACCCCAGAGTCCCCTCGTAAGCTCCCACTCTGGCCAGGCCCTCCCCTGTTTACACCCCCATTCGCACGGTGTGGGCTGAAGTTTCCTGGGTTGAGACAGGGAGTCGGAAAGATGTTGTATGAATATCATGCCCCTTTACCCATTTTATTCATTTTGTTTTCATGTTCCTGCGGGCACACCAGGAGTGCTCAGGGGCTTCTTCCAGCACAGTGCTCAGAGTGGTCGGACAGACACCAGATAGGAGGTCAGTGTAGCTTGGGAAGAGCTGTAAAAACTAGAACAAAGATGGGGCTCATGGATTTGTTTTTATAGATTACCTGTAAAGCCATGGACTCTCTTGAGCTGGGTCAGTCAACTTTGTGTTTCAGGTGGAAGATTCTGGCAGACAGGATAAGAGGCAGCCATAATTGGGTGGGACTCAAAAGGCCCGTGGCAGGCCAGGCTGGGTAGATGCAGGTGATGGGTCCACAAAATACTTTAAAATTTGTTTGAGGACTAGAGCACTTACTCTGTATGCAGAAATCCTAGGTTCAGTCTCAGGTACCACATTGGTCCCTGAGTACTGCCAGGTATGGCCCAGACCACTTTCTCAAGACATGTCCGGTGGAGAAGTAGGCACTTATGAGACCACTAAGTCGGCTGTTTATCTCTGTGTCCTGAGGTCTGAGCGTGGCTCCGGCTTCGTAGTTGATGCCTGAAGGTTTGTTGAACAAAAGTGTGGAACAAAACTTCACTCTAGGCTCTTTGGAAGCTTAGGCTAGCAGGACCAGAACTCACTGCAGACACATTTGATCTCCCCCAGGCAAACAGTGGGCCCAGTACAAATGGCTGCCAGTTCTTCATTACCTGCTCTAAGTGTGATTGGCTGGATGGGAAGCATGTAGTGTTTGGTGAGTCTTAACTTTTCCACTCCCTGGAGTAGGATTTTCAGAAGAGCTGGTCCCTTACCATCCTGCGAGGGTGCTCAGTTGGCGTAAGTTGCTCTGGGTGGGAATAGTGGGAGAAGGGCAAGATGTGTGGGTAGAGACAGACTATAGAGAGGGAAGGAAGGAGGGAAACGAGACCCAGTCACCCAGACCAAGGGTGGGGCCCTGTTACTACTTGTGACCTTGGACAAGTCTTCATTTCCCTGAATCTTACTGTCCTGGTGTTAATGTGAGGGTGGAGTGAATTAATTGCTAAAAATGAACAGAAAACCTGGATGATTATGCAAATGAAAATCTAAAGTCAAATTCATACTCTCCCTGCAGGAAAAATCATTGATGGACTTCTAGTGATGAGAAAGATTGAGGTGAGCTTTTTTTTTTTTTTTTTTTGCTTTTTGGATCACACCCAGCAATGCTCAGGGGTTACTCCTGGCTCTGCACTCAGGAATTACTCCTGGCGGTGCTCAGGGGACCATACGGGATGCTGGGAATCGAACCCGGGTCGGACGCATGCAAGGCAAACGCCCTACCCGCTGTGCTATTGCTCCAGCCCTTTTTTTTTTTTTTTAATTTTTTTGCATTTTGAGGTGAGCTCCATTTTGATTGCCTTTCTTGCCCTTCCGGTCTTTGACTATCTTCTAATGTCTGCACTTGAGAGCAGTAAGCTTGGCGTCCCAGTTACTTGGACTCCTCAGAGAAAGAGGAAAGACCGCATGTCTCCCCACCCCACCCCACCAGTTTTCTCTGTCCCTGGGCTTAGCCTTCCTGATACATGCTGAGGTGTGGCCCTCGGTGACCCTTTCTCCTACCAGACAGCATCCTGCTCAGTGTAACCAAGATCCTTGGTGCTCTGTCCCCTGCCAGCTTCTGCAGCCCCCTCCCCCGCCTCTTTCGTCTTCCATTTGTACCTGCCTGTAGTTTTTCTCTAAATGTACCATGCTCGTTCCTGCCCCAGAGCCTTGGCTCATGCTGTTTCCTCTACCCGGAGTGCTCTGCTCATCTCCTTTCCTCCTGGTGCGATCCCGTGCATCCTTCCAGATCCAGCTCTGCGGAGCCCTCTTCTGGGCATCCCTCCTGATCTCTTTAAACTGCAGTTTTCATTACTTCCTCTGCCGTGTTCACAGTTTGTCTTGTGATGCACTACATCACTGTGCACTGTAGAGTTGGCGTACGTTTTGTCTTTAATCTGCATCGTATGCTTGGCTTGTCTGCTAGGACATGGGCTGTGGGAAGAGCTATCTCGAGTCCGCAGTCCTCCGCACGAGGGTAAATGTCTGGTGAGTCTTTGAGTGTCTGAAATCTCCACGGTGCTTTTTCTCCTAGAATGTTCCCACGGGCCCTAATAATAAGCCCAAGCTGCCTGTGGTGATCTCACAGTGTGGGGAGATGTAGTCCAGAGCATGCAGCATGAGTGGCACAGGTAAGTGTGACCGTGGAAAAGGCCACGGCCCCTCTGAACTGTTCCCCCCCACCCCCACCCCCACTACCACCACCACCATTGGTCTCACTACAAGAATGAAAAGAGAAAGGGTCATCGGGCACTTTCCTGCCGCTTTGTAGTTTACAGTGTCAACCTGAAAGCCAGTGAGAGTTTCTGGTCTCTTCACAGCCCCACCTGGAAGATCTCTCTCCCTCCTCTCTCCCTCCATGCTCTGTCTCTTCCCTTTCGTTCTTCCCCTCCCCCCTCCTCCTCTCTTTCTTCATCTTCCCATCTTTCCCCCTCTCTCCCATCTTTCCCTCCCTTTCTCCTTTTCTCCATTCCTCTCTCCCATCTTTCCCTCCCTTTCTCCTTTTCTCCATTCCTCTCTCCCTGTTTTCCTCCCTATCCTCCCCCTCAAACACACACACACATACACACACACACACACAACTTTCTCTTAGGACCAAGTAGTACAGGAAGTCAGGTGCACTTGCCTTGCACCCCGCACGTGCCACCAGAGGTCACTCCTGCACGCAGAGCCAGGAATAGCCCCTCAGCACAGCTAGTTGTTGCTCAAGGCCCTCTCCACACCCTCCTCGCCCCCAAAGAGAAACCTGATCCAGATTCACCACTGATTCATATTCTTGGTTTGGCCGAGCCGGGTTCGATTCCTCCGCCCCTCTCAGAGAGCCCGGCAAGCTACCGAGAGGATCTCGCCCGTGCAGCAAAGCCTGGCAGGCAACCCGCGAGGTATTCAGTCTGCCAGTAAGCAGTCATAACAAGTCTCAAAATGGAGATGTTTCTGGGCCCGCTCGAGCAAATCGGTGAACAGCAGGAGGACAGTGTGACGGTGTTTTGCTTTGACTTTTTAGTTTGCCTCTCATTTCTGCTCTCTCCTTTCCTGTTTTCTCTCTTTTCTATTTCTCTCTTAACCTTTCTTACTCTCTCCTCCCTTTCCTCCTGTCTTTTCTTTCTTTCTTCCTCCCCTCCCTGTCTTTATTCCTTGTCTTCTTGCCCTTTCTTCATTTATTTCCCATTTAAACACTTTTTTAAAAAAATTTTTAGGGGGTAGGCGGGGGGCCCACACCCACCAGTGCTCAGGGGCTATTCCTGACTCTGTGCTCAGGAATGATCTCCAGCAGTACTCAGGGAACCGTATGTGGTACTGGGGATCAAAACTGGGTTGACCACAAGCAAGCAAAGTGCCTTTATCCCTATATTACTATCTCTCTTGCCTTCAGTACTTTTGTTTGTTTTTGTTTTTTGGGTCACACCTGCTGGTGCTCAGGACATACTCTTGGCTCTGTGCTCCAAGATCACTCTTGGTGGGGCTTGGCAGAATGCGTGGGCTGCCAGGAATCAAACCTAGGTCAGCGCGTGCAGGCAAACTCCCTACTTGCTGTGGAGAACAGAACATATTTTAATTAAAATTTGGCAGTGTCTATATTTGCTTATATTGCTTAGATTTTTGTTTTTTGTGTGTCTTACTCGTCTTTGGTGATAATTCTTTGTTCAACAAAGGTTCTGTGATTTGCAGGGGTCAAGATGAACAGTTTTTTCCCTTATGACTTGGGTTGTCTCCTCTAAGAGGTCCTCATTGCCTCAGATCTTTCTGCTTTCTCCTGATATGCCTGTAGTTTTGTTTGCGTGCATACGGAATGATCGAAAGTCGACTACTTTTTTCCATAAATAAAAATTTTATTGGAATAGTCATTCACTTACATATTGATTTTTGTCTAATTTCAGGTACAAAAACAAAGCAAATTGTCATGATAGAAATAATTTGACGCACAAAGTCTGAAGTATGCATTCAATTGGCCTTTAAGAAAGACTTTTCTGACTAATCTAAATATTTAGAAAAAAAGCATAAAATAATTCTCAGGGTCAGAACTATAGTGCTTGTCTTGCACATGACTTTTTTTTTTAACCCTTTGCCCCCTATAGAGGTCTAGTCCAGTCTGAGACCATTTTCATGACACTCACCTCTTTGGCTTCCTCTGTGTTCACAACATCTGGCTCGTATAGGCATTCATTGAGAACGCACTGCCTGGATTAGTCAGGGGAGAATGTCAGGTATTTCAAGCAGGGAGCTGCTGTGAGCAGGTGCTGAGGCAGGAATGCACAAGTGTTTGCTGAAGGCTGCCATGGGCCTCTCAGTGAGCATTGTGCCCCTCCTCAGGCGCCACTGCTAGCCCGAGCTCTCCTTTCTGCCCGGCTGAGAGCCACTCCCTTGCAGTCGGCTGCACTCCTTTAGGAACTGCTGGCCATTGCCTCTCTCACTGATCTCTTGCAAAGTAGAGTTGAGCCCAGAGATCCTTACCTCCGTGTAGTGTGGTCACGGATTACTGTTGGAGACCAAAGATAAAAGGAATCAAATTTAGAAATACAGATCCATCTAGAAAGCTGCTGGAAATCCTGCTGGATATTTGATTTCTGCAGATAGCCGTCATCACCCTTCCCCTCCTCACCCACCCTTAGCAAAAGTCACTTACACCTTTGCCCCCAGGAGAGCCCCTCTTCTCCGCCTGAAGTCAGAGCAGAGTAAATTCTCCAGGGCCATTTGACATTCCAGAGGCCTTCTAGATGCATTCTGCTACTGCCCTCTCTGATGCTGGCAAATGTTCTGGGTCGGTACAATCCATCCTAGGAGCTTCTCGACACGTGAAATGTGGCTGGTGTGACTTGGCTGATGCATTTTATTTTATTTGAATGAAATATAAAGAGCCACATTTAGTAGCTCCTGACCTCCAGATTGAATCTCAGGTCAGAGGCCCTGACCTCCAGATTGAATCTCTCAGAGCTCATCCTTAGCGACAGCATGATAGAGCTGTTTTTGCAGAACATTTTTTTATTTCATTCTTGGTAGTCATCCCAGCAGTGCTTGAGGCCACCAGAGAGAGGCCAGAAGGGGCACCCTGCAGGAATCAAACCCTCACCCATGCAAGGCTTGTGCTCTATCACTACGCCACTTCTTGCCCCCTTAACTGCTTTTTGTGCTGGAACATTGAACTAACAGCATTCTTTTTTTTTTTAGTATATATATATATTTTTTATTAGTGAAACACCATGAGGTACAGTTGTAGATTTACAATTTTTGTGCTTGGGTTTCGATTATACAATGATCAGATACCCATCCCTCCACCAGTGCCCATTTTCCACCACCATGGATAATGTCCCCCCCACCCCCATCCCCCCCTGCCTCCGTGGCAGGGCAATCCCCTGTGTTCTCTCTCTCTCTCCTTTTGGGTGTTGTGGTCTGCAAAAGAGGCATTGAGTGGCAAACATGTTCAGTCCATAGTCTACTTTCGACATGCATCGCCCCTCCTGGGAGGATCCTCCAAACACCCTTTATTTGGTGCTCCCTTCTCTATCTGAGCTGCCCTTTCCTCTAGAATGCCCGGCTGGCCACTAAGCTATGGAGTAATCACTAACAGCATTCTTAAGTCAGCTCATGTAGCTACTAGAAATCCCTGGCACAGGCTTTGAAGTGCTGGGGAATCTGAGTGATAGTCTGACCTAAGGGGATTCCATAGCAAGGTGCCCCACTGGATGGTTCTTCAACTTTTGAAAGTTTTTATTTCAATCACTGATTTGCAGGACTGTTCATGATAGGGTTCCATGATACAACCTTTCAACCCCACACCCTCCACCAGAGTGTCTACTTCCTACCATTGTCTCATGGACTCTCCTCACACTTCTGCCTTCTCACTGCCATGGTAAACTCAGTATTATAGACCAGTTCTCAGGTTCTATTTCCTTGATGATGTGTTATTCGTATAATAACAAATCCCACATACAAGGGAGATCATTCTGTACTGTTCCTCTCCTTCACTCAGCATGTTCCATCCACATGATGGCAAATTACATGATTTCACCTTAGAGCCAAGCAGTAGTCCACTGTGTATATGTGCCATAGTTCATTTATCTAATCATCTGTTCTTTTTTTTTTTTAATGGAGGAAAATCATCTGTTCTTGAACACTTGGGTTGTTTTTAGATTTCGGCTATCGTGAACAGTGCTGCAATGATCATAGAGTGCAGATGTCTTTTCTGACTAGAGTTTTGAGGACCTTGAGGTAGATGCCCAAAAGTGGAATTGTTGGGTCATATGGAAACTCAGTTCTTAGGTCCATATTGTTTTCCCTAAAGGTGCGCCAGTCGACTTTTACACCAGCAGTGGAGTGGGTTTGTTTTTCCCCACAACCCCACCAACACTGGTTATTCTTCTTTGTAATATGTATCAATCTTACTGGTGTGAGATGAGATGTAAGGTTTTTTTTTTTTTTGCTTTTTTTTTGGGGGGGTCACACCCAGTGATGCTCAGGGGTTACACCTGGCTCTGCACTCAGGAATGACTCCTGGCGGTGCCCAGGGGACCATATGGGATGCTGGGAATCGAACCTGGGTTGGCCGCGTGCAAGGCAAACGCCCTACCCGCTGCGCTATCACTCCAGCCCCGAGATGTAAGTTTTGATTTGATTTGTATTTCCCTCCTGGTAAGTGATGAGCATTTTTTTTATATGTACTTATGGACAAACTTGCAGGCTATCGAATGTAGCCTGCCCACAGGGCAGAGTCTGGCAAACTCCCCGTGGCGTACCCAATATGCCAAATACCAGTAACAATGATGGGTCTCATTCTCCTAAAGAGCCTTGAATATAATCTCAGGGCTAGGATGAAAGAGACGTTACTGGGGCCTGCTCGAGGCAATCGACGAATAACAGGATGATGAAATGAAATGAAAAATGGGCCATCTGTATGCCTTGAGAAAGTTTCTATTCATCTTTCCTCCATTTTTCGGTTGGTTTTGGTTGGTAAACAAAAATTTTACAAGTGCTTTGTATATCTTGAATAGTAACCATGTTTCAAACGTGTGGTGGGCCAATAGTCTCTCCCCATCTCCGGGCTGTCTCTTATTCTCGTCATCATTGACTTGGTGGTACAGAAGCTCCTTACTTTAATACAGCCCCGTTTGTTTATCTCTGCTTCCATTTGCTTGGC